CCAGGGGAGGTTTAGGTTAGATGTTAGGAAGAAATTCTTTAGAGAGAGGGTAACCAGGCATTGGAACGGCCTACCCAGAGAGGTGGTGGATTCACCATCCCTGGAGGTTTTTAAGCAGAGATTGGATGTGGCCCTTAGTGCCATGCTATAGTAATTGGAGTTGGATCAGGGGTTGGACTTGATGATCTTGGAGGTCTTTTCCAACCCAATCTATTCTATGATTCTATGTTTCTATACCTCTGCAGTTCTGCTAAATTTAAGTTAAATACTTAGTATCTCAAGTAGTGTACAGTGTGTTCCTTTAAAAAGCTGTTTGATTAGACAGTAATTTACAGTTTGTTTTTTGGCATGCACAAAGTATGCTACTTTCTTCATAGCAGCTACTTTGAGGTACCACGGGGTGGCAGCAGGCTCGCAGGAGTTCACTGCTGTGCCAGTGTCTATGTCAGCAAACTTGAACTTCAACTCTGTGTGTAAATCATATTGCATTATTAGTAATAATCTCCTTTTCTCTGCAACATTTGTATAGAATCTTGTTTTCAAAGATGTAATAATTTAAAAAACCTGTTCACAGTGCAACAGCTGCCAAACTCATGATTCTCAGTTGTGTAATCCTATTTTACTTCTGCTCTTGTGTTCTTGTATGATCACTGTTCCTGTTCTCCTGTCTGATGTTTCCCTATGGTCAGCGCTGGCCATCATCATTTACTTTGTCTCAGCTGATAAATAGTGTTGTTACCATGTTAGGAATGTTTAGTATCATTAGTTTTCATCTTTCTTTCTCAGAAAAGTTTAAAAAGGCATTTTTGTCTAGCTTCTTGAATGTGAGCTCAAATGAACAACTCCAGGTATGAATGTCAAAGAATCTTGTTCTTTCTTGAATGTTTTCTGTCTGCTTATCAAAAGGAAATGAGATTTTGTGGCTCGTATTTCTTTGTATACATTCAGGACTTTAGTCCATATCAATAGATAGATGATGCTTATGGGTAACACAGGTATGAAAACTATGTCTTTTAAAAAACAAATTTCTGTGAAATCTTAGTGAAAATATGAATTGTTTGATATGTATTTACTAGTAGGTGGAGTCTATCTATACCTTCATTTTTCTTTTACCATCCACTTACTTTTTAAATTTATTTTGTTGCTAACCCTTCTTAGCACTCACAAGAGAGTTTTGAAATACTTGCAGAGTTGGTTGGAGGAATCTAGATAAATAGGAAGCCTGGGGGAGTAGTTAGCAAAATAGTTATGCAGTGACAGAGTATCTTTCCTCTAAATATTTCTCAGGAGTATTTCAGGAAGTTTAGCTTTTGAGGTAGTATTCTAAAAATCTTGAGCTGCTTTATATAAGCTTAGACAATAAAGTTCATCAACCAGTAAAATGAAAATTATTTTGTGTCATTTCTGCACTTGATGGCCCAGCATTTTTCATTTCTGCTTTACTTCCTTTAATGGAAATTATTTCTTTTAAAAGCATTGTTATTATCAGGGGATTCAGTGTCATTGTCTTGAAGCTGCATTTCAAGAGAAAAAAGTGCTCAAGGGTTTCAGCAAACTCTGCTTTAGGTGTTGCAACCTGTGCTAATGAAGCAGCTGTTTTTTCCTCTCTTTTTTATTCCTTTTCTTCCCCTCCCACACCCTTTAATATGACTTCCATCAAAACCAGTATATTTATTGAAACTTATCTAGTACAAGTGAGAAGGTATTTGTGGAAACATCTTAATGGCTGAAACCTTATTTTTACAACTTCGGTTACTTCTTATGATAAAACTGTAGTTTAATCATACAAAGCCTGTCCAGCTAATCTCTTAAAGCTTCAGCTGATAAAATTGGCCAGTATGTATTCTGATAACCACTAAGTTTTTGCACTCATATCTGCTTTATTTTCCACCTGTCCTTCTTTTGTAGCTTTTAGTAGGCTGAGTTAAGGACAAAGAATTTCACTTTAGATAGCAAAGGCCTGTACTGTTCACTCATCCTGTGAGTTGTGACTCTTAAAATACCAACGCATCTTCTTCAGAACAGTTGGTTGTATTAGGATGTCCTTCTCTGTCATTTTTCCCCATAGGAAATACTTGATGATTGCAACTGTAGTGTTGGAATCACTATACTCAGGGATGGGGAAGAAGCTTGAGGTTGAAGAGTAACCATTAACTGGGAGAATGAAACAGAGCAAGAGAAAGGACAAACAGTGTTAGTCTTATAAATTATGGGCTGGCCCATCACCTGTGCTAGCTGCGTAGTTTCTGTGAGCACAGTGGAAGCACCTTGAGTTCTTCGGGATCAGGTGTTTGGTTTTCCCTGGACTATAAGCTCCTGACCATTGTCCCCTTGTATGCACAATACAGAAGGCTTTTTGCTGGTTGGTGGATTATCAGTGAGTGGTGAAGCCTGAACTTTATACCTCTATATTTATGGTCTGTGGTGGTAAAGAAGATGAAAGAGGCTATAGAACAGTTTACACACTGTCCCAGTGCTGAGCAGGTTTTAGCTGGTTAATTGTTGCTTGATAAGATTTTGGCTCTTCTACACCATCTACTTTTTTTCCCCAGACTTTTGGAAGGGAGGTCGTCTTGGCTCTTTGTGGTAAAGGTGCTTCAATCTCATGCTTGCTTTTAGTGGCTTCTCAGATTTCTAATAATACTTAACTTTTTTTCTCCTTTGGCCTGGTTTAACTATTGTCCTTTGATTTAGATATGTGTATAAAGTGCTTTGCTTCTTGTGTGTGGGACATCTGAAGAGCGTATTCTTCTGTCTAGGCAGTCTTACCTGGCACTTAACTGCTATGATATACTACATAGTCTGTTTTTTGTTTGGTATTTCATGTTAAAGGCAGTTATTCTTAGAGGACAGGAGCTTCTATGTACTGCAGACAGTAGACAGATGCTGATTTCTCTGCAATTTTGTGCTTCCCTTACAGTATATGAAACAGTGATGACTTATCAGGACCAAAAAAAGTTCTATTGTCTTCATTGTACTTATTTGCTAGATGATGAATTTCAAAGAATGGCATGTTTTCTCAGGCCATGGCAAAAAACCTGTGGAATTGCATAATTTGAAATGTTAGTGGAGAATGGACAGCTGGAAGCATATTTTGTGTGGATGGTTTCTCCCACACATCTGTGTCTCTCCAGATCCATTCCTAAATTTTGTTTTGGTTTCTCAGCTAGTAGAGAAGATGTATGACACATATGCAGTTAAAGAAGCAATTTATCCTGTTCCTTTCTTGCTTCTAAAGTTTTGTTTACTGCAATTACAAGTTCTGCCTATTTCCAGTTATTGACAGATATTGCTTTGGGACCACACTCACAAGGAGACACGCCAGTGAAAGCATTTAGCCAGTGGCTTTTCTGGCTATGTGTCTAATGGAGACAGATTTTCAGGATGTGTTCTTCTCTTAAAGCTCCTAGTTAAAATCTCTTGTTTCCCTTTGGTGCTCAGCCAGTAAGTAATGGCCCCCTTCAGTTCATGAAAAATTGACTAGTTTTGTGTGGCTTCTTAGCTGCTATGTGTTCTTTTATGTCTTGTCACTGTGAGAGTTTTGCTTCTGTAGTACCTATAGGAGCTTTGTGGTTTCCATGCTGTCATTAGCAGTTCTGTGCTCACATGTTGAATGGGTCAACAGCTGTAGAAAATATCTTGCAAAAATTTCATCTGTGTGTATATATATGTATGTAAAAAAGTTTTAAAAATTTTGTCAAGTATGCTTTCTTTCATAGCCCTCCGTTTTAAGCACAAAAAGAGACTAATATTTGCTTTTTGTTCTCTGCCTTGGGGAAATGCTGATGTTTTCTAGTTACATGTGTAATGTAATGTGTTAAAAGCTGATGTTTGGTTATTGCTGTGTTAAACTGTTATAAGGAGCCTGTTTTAAGAAGTTTTGAGATAAAAGGAGGCAAAACCAGCAGATAACGACTATTATCAGGAAGTCTTTAATATTTTCAGAAAAATTTTTTTCAGAAGTTTTCTTTATGGACTCCCACTGTTATTTTTGCATTTTATCTGATCAAAACCCTCTTGTCTCTCAGGCTATGAACCGTTCTCTTGCAAATGTGATTCTTGGGGGCTATGGCACTGCATCAACAGCTGGAGGGAAGCCCATGGAAATTACTGGAACCCACACAGAAATCAATGTGGACAATGCAATTGAAATGATAAAAGAAGCCAATAGTATTATTATTACTCCAGGTAAGACATTCTTGACTCACAAGATGTTCAGAGGATGTATTATGAAGAAAAAGGCTCCAAAACAAACAAAAAAACTGTAGCCTACAGTGCCAGCATGGCAGCAGCATGTCAAATGTTGACTGAGTCCATGCGATTTGTTTTTCTTTCCAGCTCAGTTATCATTTTTCTATGCAGAGGTGTATGCCACTTCATTTTCCTTTATGTGTGTTTCTTCAAACTCTGTCCTTTTTATTTGCATTTTAAATTCTTCAGAACAAAGACTCTTGTAAATGAAGCTTGCACCACAACAGCTGTACACAAAATTAATTGTGAGTTTCCAAGCACTACCACAGTACCAGTGGTTCCAGTATATCTGTCTGTTAAGTTACGGAAAAGATTTTGTTTACAGTTTTTCATGTACTTGCTTAATTCTGCATGGGTTTATGAAAAAAAAAGGATATAAACTAATTTAAAACTTAGTTAATGTAAATACTGTAATTAAAGTTTTAAAAAAAAAGACCTGAAAACCAAAACCCTGAATTGTCTGAAACTATTATGTTGACTGTAGACTCATACTGTTCAGTAGCGCACTCCCTGATAGGAGAGCTCAGGTAGGGAATAGCTCAAGATTTCTTTTTCTTCAGTTGAATGGCATGACTGCTATGTTAAATTTGTTTTAGCATTGGAATGTGAAGAAAGCTAAAATACTAAGTCATCTTTTATTTTGCTTCAGCTTAACTAAAAACATGACTGAGGTAGGGTTTTAATTTGGGAAGTTACCTCTGTTTCCAGTAAAGCTTGCAGTCATCCTCAAGGAGTTTGCCTCTTTCTCCTGTGGTCAAACCTTGAGGACACCAATAATAGTTTATACTCTTTGTATTTCTCTGGATATAGTTCTTCTGATGAATTAGTTCAGACAGACTTAAAAGACAAAGCAATATCCAGTACTAGATTTGAGTTATGCAAATTCAAAATTATCTTGAGGATAGTGATTGTGAAGTAACATAGTAGTAGCCACTCTACCAATTTTTCAGAATACCTGTCTGAAACAACCTTTTCTGATAGAGAAAGGAATATGTATTTTTGTGAAGCTGAAATAAGTTGCTTTTGTAGTTGGACTGGCCAAATCACTGCATTGTAAGTGGTCAGGAGATCAAAAAAGAGATAAATTACAGTGGTCATGCTGTGAATGTATGAGAATCTGATGTGCGTGTGTATTTTTTAAAATTTATTTTTAGTTTTAACAGCTTCTGTTTGTGGGGAAGAGACTCTTACTGTCGACAACTAGTCTTTCTGCACTGAAACAGAAAAATAACTTCAGATTTTGAAATTCTTTCAGGTTATGGTTTGTGTGCAGCAAAAGCTCAGTACCCAATAGCTGATCTGGTGAAGATGTTGAGAGAGCAAGGGAAAAATGTCAGGTAGGTGCTTTCCTTGATGACAAGTATTACAGTGTTTTGTTTCAGTTTGGTTTTTCTTTTCATTGCATTAAAATCCCCTACAAGTAAGTCTTAGTTTTGATTTAATATTTCTTTTAGCATTGACAGAGGCACAGAACAGTTTAAGTTAGAGATCTCTGGGGATTTTCTGGTTCAGCCAGCCTCCTTGCTCAAACCAGAGTCAACTGGAGCTGGTTGCTTAGAGGCTTGTCCAATTGGGTTTTGGACATTTAGTCTCCAGAGATGGAGACTTGTCAATCTCTTAAAATGTTCAGTCATCCTTAGAGTAAAGTAAGTTTTTCCCATATTTCAATTTGCAACTGTTGCCTCTTGTCCATTCACCGGATACCACTGAGAAGAAACTGGCTCTGTCTTCTTTACTGCCCTTCATCAATATTTATACAGTAATAAGATTCCCTTGAGCCTTCTCTTCTCCCAGTTTTCAGCCTCTCCTGTGGCAGGTACTCCTAGCCATTAAGCAACTTAGATCTACACTTATGGGATTCCCATAAGATTTTGCTACTGCAGACAAGGCTGTTATTAGAGTTTTGAATATTGGGTGGAAGAATTATTGGAGTGCATGACACCAGTCCCATGAATTGATTCTGCTGGAATGCTGCTCTAAAAGCAGAGATAATTCTTAGATTGCCAGTATTAGCCTGAAGTCCTTTCCTCCTTCATTTTTTTGGTAGACCTTATAGATACTGAAAGTACTGGAAAGCAAACAAAATGCCTCCCCTGCTGATTGTTTGAAATTTTGCTTGGTTTCTTATTATGATAACTTAATATTTTAAAATCAGTCAAGGCTCAGTTTTCATTTCAAACAAGATGTTTGGGCAGACTTATTCTGATTTCCATGTGTTTATTTCAATTAGATGGTGACTTCCATTTGGAATCAGTACTCTACTAGTGTTTTTTGCATTTGTTGTCCTTATTCCACTACTTTTTGAACCTTATTGAAAAGTTGCATGTAAGTTTTTGCAGTGTGTTATGGCACCTATTGTGATGGATAACAGCAGAATTAAAGGGTTTTGCAGCAATTACTTGTTAGTGTTTAGCCAGCATGTTGCAATTCTGCATATAAAATTGCTTTATAGATGTGTTTGTTCATGGATACATGAGAAGTGAGGGGGTGTGGTGGTGTGGTGGTGTATTTTCTTCTTGGAGCAGTTCTCTTCACACCTTGTTTTTCTCCATGTTAGTGAAAGCTCTGTGTGTGTCCAGATTGCCTTAAAAAATGTGAAGACTCCTTGTTGTGCAACAAGAGAACCCTTTCGTGGCTAATGCGATGACTGTATTGTATACTTTTGTCTTTATTTCAGTGCTTCTCTGGGGGAGAGCTATTTTTTTCACCATCTTTGGTGAAATAAAAAAATATTGTTTTTTCCTTTTATGTTGGCTTTGCAGGGGAGAGAGGTGAATGAGTCCTTGAAATAAATGGCTTATACTTGAAATTACTCAATTTCAGGAGGGGATCACTGCAGTGGTTACCTAGTATTTTAATGAAATAAATCTGTATTTACAGTTTGTGGTAATTCAGGCCTTTCATCACTTTACTGAGCTCCCACGGTGTTCATTGAGTGCAGCTGTTGTCCTCTGGTTTCAGTAGGCCTGGAGTGCCTCGGGACCCTAAACCACTCACCGTCCAGATGTAGTGACACCCTCACACATACGCTGTGGAGAGGTGCCAGCATGGACACAGAATTGCATCAGCCTGTAATGCCCATCGTGTGCCAAGAAAAACTGCGACTGTCATACGGTCTGTTTCTGCTTCATGGCTCACCACTGATCCAGAGGAGCTGTTGTTTTCATTTGCTCTGCCTATAGCCATAACATTCTCAGTGAATACAGATTATATAACATGATACATAACCTATGACTAGGGTTTAAATTTAGAAATACAGGAGAGTTTTTGGAAACTTTAGGCTGTCTTAGTTACTCAGTTGCATAGCTAACATCATTGCTCACTTTGAGATGGTCTTGCAGCAGATCACATCTTTAATGCATTAGTCTAGTCAGACAGAAAGCTGGATATTACTGAGCCTGGAGTATAGCTTTGCCCTGTTATGGAGGGATAAAACAAGAAATGTTTTTTAGGCTAAATCCTGTAGCCCCCAGAATCTATTGGCCTTGGAGAGGAAATAGCTGTTCTACAACTGCTGTTGTATTTTTGCAGCGTCAGAACTAAGTAAATTGCTGAAAGCTCTCACTTTACCAAAGTTTGTCAGCCACATGTTGTGTTGTTTGTAGGAACCTAGCTGTGGAATTCTGATTTTTTTCTATACAGTAGAATTATATTCTATAGTAATTTTGCATCTAGATACATAATTACACTCTAAAACTCTATACATTCTCATATGCGTGTGGGTTATTGATGTCCACATCAAGTTATCTGTCCTACCTTTTGCCACAGTGTGACATTCTTAAGACCTTTTCTATCAATGTGTTTTGTTTTCCTGCACAATTAGAAGTTCTTGATGAGAAAAACGCATTTTAAGATGAAAGCACTCTTAAAATTGTGCTTTTTATAGACTTTCAAAATAGTTTCGTAGTAAATAAGTTGATTTTCTGGTAATTCACAGTGGAGAGAGATGCACATTACCTCTTTAACAGCCTTTCAAAACAGTTGCTAATAAATTAGTGTTTTCGTTTCATTTTTTTAACCTACTTTTTATAGGACTTGAATTTCCATCTTCTGATGCTGAAGAATCTAATTACTTTTAAGCACATGGAAATGAGTTTTTCATGTTTTTGAAAACATGGTAGTACTGATTTCGTGTTGTACTTGCATTTTTTGATCTTTTTTTTTTTCCTGTTGATACCTCAAAGGCTGAGCTCTAATCAAATGTGTTCAGAGCTCTGTTTTTCCTCCCCTCCATTGTTCTAATTTCTTGGAAGTAATAGAATATGTGAGTGGATGTCAGTTACACATTTATCTACAAATTAAAAATAAAACTGATTAACTACAACTGTTTAATTATGTCAGTTTATAGTTATGATTCTTTGTGGCTCTAAAGAGACACAAAGTGTCTACATGTGTGTCGGTTCTTGGTTGGTTTGCTATAATCAAATTAGCTGGGTGGGTTCTGAATTATTAATGCTGAAAAAGAAGGCCCAGATGGAGTCCAACAGATCTGCTAGCTCCAGTGCCTTATTGGTGTAGTTAGAATTAGCAAACCTTGCTGCACCTGATCAGCTTCTGCAAGGATGCAGCTGCAGCTGTGTGCTCCTGTAGGTGTGCCATTGCTTCCATAGGGGTCAGCTCAGCTCTGGGTGACCTCACTAGGTCCATGTGTGATATTTTGTGGAAGCAGGCTCTATTCTTTTCCCTGTAGTTGGGTTCTTGGGAGCCGGTATCAGAGCCCTGTTTAAGTATGCTTAATTTAGCTAATCTAACTCAGTTTAAATTTAACTGACCTGATTGATTTTGAAACGTATGTTGCCTCAGGCATGAAACCAGGTCTAGGTTGGCTAGGCTAGCTGTATGTGTTGATGCTAGTGATCCACAGAGTTATCTGTAAGGATAACTTTCTGTGATGAACATTATGCTGTGATACTTGGCAATCATGCTACACTGCAATTATTACGTGGCAGGATTCAAGCTGTGGAATATCTATATGATGCACTTCTCTGTTAATCTAGCTTTTTGGGGTTTTCCCCCCTCTTGTTACCTAGAATAACAGATTATTGTTTGTACTGGAAACAGAGGGGAAGAGGTGTCTAAATAAAGTAAATGAGACATTAGGAACAGTAGGTGAGGCAGTGAATCCCTGGGCAAATATGGCATCTGAAGTGTTGAGTAAGCTAAATAAGACACCAGCCAGATGTTACATAGCTCTGTCCAGCTTTGTCATATTGACAGAAATCCTATCTTTACGTGGATGAAGTGATCTTGAAACCCTTCTGTATTGGGTTAGGTGCTGCCCTTCTGAGGTCTTGTGTGAGGTCTTTCAGGATTGATTACAGGAATGTTATCTAGACAGTTGTAATAAAGACGAGTACTGACTTTATGAGCTGTATAAAAATAATTTCTATTCTGAGGCTTTTTAGTAATTTTTTATGGTATGTCTTTTTCATGCTACTATTACTAACTTCATACCCCTTCCCCCACCTTCAGTCCCTTCTACCCACCCCCTGCTCCAGTTTTAGCACAGCTCCACTGTGCTAAAAGTACTGTTCTAGATGCAATGTGTATGTCAGGAGTTTTAGATATTAGGTCAAAATTTGAAAGAAAATGTTGCATTTTTTGTATTACAAGAAAAGCTCAAAATACTAACTCATTTTTCAGTGTGCTGTGTTGTCCTTAAAAAACTAAGAAGTATCCAGTAGAAGCTGATTAAAAAAGCTGAGTATCCTTGCCTCATGCTGTTCACCTCTTAAGGCAGAGTAGCAAGAAGATGTGCACGCACTTCAGTATCTCACAATTGGTGGTGATGATAAGCAAGCCCCACATTATATTGTCAGGGTCAAAAGAAAAAATTCCTGGTGAATTCTGCGCTTCACTGAAGTTCCAGAATAATGTTTCAAGTTAAACACATCATGATTGTGAATATGTGTTGTGGGTTAAGATTTCTGCCTGATTTATAAAGAAACCAGCCAACTTACAGGAGTTCCTGCATAACTCATACTAAAAGAATATCAAAGAAACTTGGCAATTTTTCACTTCAAAGCATTTTTACCATAAAACATGTCTCTCTTTTAAAATAACTTCCGTGTTGAATTTTTGAATATGAATGAGGTTCATAGTTTGAACATCTGGGAGAGCATATGTGACAAAATGTTCCTGCTGTAATGCACACAGCTTTGAAGAACTGATGCTGTTGTGAATCGGGAGCAGCTTTTATTAGACACGTTGTGATCCATCAAGGATTTTAGGTGTCTTTTTTCCATGGTTACCTGAATTCTGCTTTGTATTGGATAGGCTGATTTCACTCCAGAAATGTGTAGATGTTACCTTTTGATATAATGAAAGCCGCAGAGAAGCATGTATTTTTTCATTATTCTTTTTGACATTCTTGCTTATCCAATAACAAGTAGTACTGTCAGGCTACTGTCATATTTGGTTAACAGGCTCTTAGAAGCAGACTTTTGGGAGTCACTTCAATATTTGTCCAAAAAAGCTTTTGTATGAACAACTTTCTCAGACTTTCTGAATATGCAGTGTGTGGTTTCAAACAGAGTCTGTCAGAAGTCTTTAACTACTGATGTTTCGTGCCATAACTCTTCCTGAATGAAGATAATTTGTCCCTTTCTTTTTCTTCTTTCCTTGCCTCTTGCCAGGAATGGTGAAGTCAAAGGTGAAATTTATTCTCTTGGCAGCTAAAATTTTTGGCTTTCTAGCCCTTGAAATAAGATTGTATGTGTATATAGTATTTAATAGAAACCTCACAAGTATTTTGTTTTGTGTATTGCCAAAGCAGCTTTGGTCACAAAGGCACTCAAATAATTTTATTAGACACAAAAGAGAATTTTGTTGGAAAATCTATTTTCACTGCCAGAGGAGTGATGAGTTTTCTCAAGGGTACTTCAGAATAAGAGTTCTCCTACTGTATTGTAAGTGATAGAATTTGGTGTACTTAAGGTCTATCTGCAGTACTACACATGGCTTGTATTACTGAGTCAGTGATGTGAAACGTAAGCTGTTAGTAATTTGTCCTGTTTGCTCTCCTTTTTCTGATTTTAGGTATTACCCTTTACGACAGAATCCCAAATGTTTACTAGCTGAATACAATCTATTGACTTTCTTTCTTTAAAAGTATTCCTTTTAAAGCCAGCTTTTATCCTGCTGTTTGGTATAGAGCTTAAAGTTGTAGTATATCTCATACTGTGTGTATTAATCATGTGTCCTTAATTTTGTTGCTGGAGTTCCAGTTGTCTCATTCTTGTATTGTCTTAATGTCATCTTAATAATGGAGCTCTCAGTTGCCCTTTTAAGGATGTATTTGTACAGTGTTAAATTCACAAGTAATCTGTGTTGATTGGACTGTGACTTGTGGTCCATCAGTTATGTTATCCATTTCCATCACAGTAGAGTTGAAAATAGAAATGTATGACAATCTGTCTGTCATGGCAAGTTGATTTATCAGTCTTTCTCTTCTTTCTGAAGAAGTCTGAGGTCCTTTTATTTCATTCCTGACTTACTTGGGTTTCTGCTCAGAAATTTCTATTCTAAAATCCAAGAATTCAGTAATCCAATTTACTCTTGACTATTTTCCTTCTCTTCCAAAGGACATGTAGGCTTCTTCACTGAACATTTATCTTCAGCCCCCTACATTTGTCTGAGGCACTTCTGGTGTGTTTGAAGTCAGCATACTGAAGTGATAGCTCCAGAGCTAGAAAGACAGAAGGTGCCCAGGACAGTAGACATGGATTTGCCTTGCTTCTGAGGGCCAGTAGATGACCAGAAGAGTACAATCTGCCAACACTAAATAGATTTACTTCTAACCAAATATGGCTTTGATAGTGCAGCTAAATCAGTTTAACATCTTCATTCTGTCTTTTTCCAGGTTTTTACTCTTACAAGAACGGTATGCATGCCTGAGCACCCTGGGCTGCCACCATGTTGTCTGTCTGAAGTTTTATTAACTCATAAGCAGCATCCTTTATCTAAGTTGTTTTTGAGCTGTTCTGGAAACATTTTTTTAAATGGTTGTACTTTTGTAGTTTCTTAGCTCTCCACCTTCTCACTCCCCCTCCTTTTTTTTTTTTTTTTTTTTTTAAGTTTTCTTTTTCTCCCAAGGTCAGTCATGAGAAGAAAGTGGCATGTTAACCTAATTCAGCAAACCATTGTCTTGGGCTTGCTGATTTTTGTGTTGGATTGGAGTGCTAGACTTAATAACACTTACTTAATCATTATAACTTAATCGTAACTTATAATAAATAACTTAATAACAATACATACTCTAGAGACACCTGAGTCAATAAAGTCATTTGCTAAGGGCGTTTCTAGGAGAGGATTTGCTTCAGAAAGGCAGCATGGCCTTTTGCCTTTTTTTGTGAAGAACATTACACTATGGTGATTTTATTTAGTCTGCAGTGATGTAAGGGATCTACAAACCATATTAATGTGTGTGGCAGTTTTACAGCTAAAAGGCTTATTTGTAGAAGTCCAGAAATATCTGTCAGAGTTTTTAAATATGGTACTGCTTGGAAAGGGAACTGTTAAGGTTTAACCATTTTATTTTATTTTATTAATTCACATGTGTGCTCATATATAAGAACTTCTCAGCCTTGTAGGTCACAGGTGACAGTTTTACTGTATAAAACAGAGTGGTCTGTGTTTATTAACAGAGTTGGACTTTCTTCCCTTTTAGGTTTGGTATTCACCCTGTGGCTGGACGTATGCCAGGTCAGCTGAATGTACTACTAGCAGAGGCTGGTGTTCCCTATGATATTGTACTGGAAATGGATGAGATCAATGAAGACTTCCCAGGTTAGACATAAGTTTCCATTAGATTGGATGATGTATTTGATTTTGGTTTTGCATCGCACAAGGATTTTTAAAAATAGAAGATCTCAGTCAGGCCATTCAGTTTCACTTTGTGCCTCTTGTGATAGCACTGTAGAGGACAAGAGGTCTGTCTGGTTTTTTTGTGAGGAGGGTGCATTTTGTTTTTTAAATGCTTGTAGACATGAAGTAAATGACAAATGCTGGGTCTTTATTATCTCTGTTACTGCCCCTATATCCGTAGAGGAAAACTGTTGCTGCTTCTTTAGGTCTGAGATGACCTTATCATATCTTGCAAACCTCTTTAGCATTGTACTGGCAACCTCTTGGTTTTTTACATCTTTTTTTTTTTAAATCAGAAGATTGCTGGTAAAAGGATTTTTGGAAGAATATTCAAAGGAAAAACCAGGCACCAAAAATTTGAAAGTGACAGTATGATGTGTGTATACGAACACATTTAAATACTAACAGATTTAAGTTTTTGTGTGGCCCAGTGGTCTAAGGAGCCCCTTGGAATTGGACTGTGGTTGCTTGCAGTTTGCTGGAGGTAGCTGGGAGCACACTTGAACTCTCACATATAATTTGCCTGATAAGTTTATAAAATGCTTGTATGAATGATGTCCTCATAAATTTTTTTAGAATACTAAACCATTATGGGTTTTTCTGCCTGTCAAGATCAGAATTAACACAAAAATGTGCATTAGCCTCTGTGTTCAGATTTCAGATAATTTTTCATCAGTATTATTTTCTTTGTCTTGCTGCAGAAACTGACTTGGTCCTTGTAATTGGTGCAAATGATACAGTTAATTCAGCAGCTCAGGAAGATCCGAACTCTATCATAGCTGGAATGCCAGTTCTTGAGGTCTGGAAGTCCAAGCAGGTGAGATTAAGAGAGTTGTGTTAGGCCCTACGTTAGGTAGCATCCTGTGAAAAACATAGTGGATAAGCTGAAAAGATTATCCCACTGTTCTGGTTTCCATAAAAAAAGCTTTTCTCTGAGTTGTACAGCAAAACAGCCTGTGCTTTGCACATGTGATGCATTGCTCATGATTTTATAATCAACATCAAGTGCTTTAGCAAGACTAATGACAACTGCAATAGAAAAGACTAATGAAAATGCTTCTTCTAGAATACGTCATTAGAATAAATAATGTCCTGCTCACCTGCAGCCCTGAAGCATTTCTATACAAATATCTGCTTTTTTAGGTTTATAGGAAATTTGATGGACAACTTTAATATTGAGGTGGAAATACAAGAATGAATAATATGCTTAAATAAAAAATAATAATTAAAAAACAACCCCTCAAAAAAAAAAAAAAAAGCACCACCACAAAACAAACAAAAAAAACCCCAGACAACCCAAACAAAAAACCAAAACTGTGAGTGGCTGAGTTGAGTAGAGAGCTTAGTCTGTCCATGTTGAACTGGCAAGTTTAGTTACCTTAACAGTTTTGTTCTTTGAAAGCAATGTCATCTGATCCAAAGTACATAGACTTGTGTTTCTTTGATGTGAAATCTTTAATATCTTGTTCTGAACTCAGCTGTAGCCTCAGTTCTTCCGTAGGTTAGCCATTCAAGTACTCAGCCATAGACACATATATTTATCAACAGTGTGTGTAGATATGTGTTGCATTTTGAGAAATAAACATGAATGTAGTTAAAGTTGGTAGAGCTTTAGAGTTTCTGTGCTGAAGGTGCCGTGGCTAACATGTTTTTGGATAGCTATTTGTCTGCTATATTAAAATCAGAAATACAGCTTATAGCAGTGAGCATCTGGTTTTGGCCAGGGATGTCTGTTCCTCTTTCTTTGTTTGTTGGAAGTTGGTTTTATGTGGTCTTTGTTTGAGGGAGAATGGTAGTTGTTTTTTGCTGTTTCAAATGTGAGCTCTTTATGTGCAGGTCATTGTAATGAAGAGATCTCTGGGAGTTGGTTATGCAGCAGTGGACAATCCAATCTTCTACAAACCCAATACTGCCATGTTGCTGGGAGATGCCAAGAAGACTTGTGATGCCCTGCAAGCGAAAGTCAGGGAATCATATCAAAACTAAATACTGATTTATATTCTGCTTGTGTTTGCGACCATGGTTTTGTCACAGAGGTTATGGAAAACAAGAGGTAGAAGAATCTCTCATAGTTTTAAGGCAGCTGGCTTTTAGAGAAGACTGCATTGACTCCTAGGAGATGTAGTTTGGTCGGGGATATAAACTTTTATAAAAAACATGGGCAGATTAGCCCTTCAAACTAAATCTTCAGTGAAGCAATGCACTAAAAAATGAAAATGTGCTTTTTAAGGTTAACATTTTGCTGTTAAGGAACTAATAACTCAGTCATCTTTAAGTAGTTACTGACTTCCTCCTTCTTAGTGTCTGTACTTCTGTCATGGAAATTCACTAAAAAATACTGTGCCAGAACTATATTCAGTCGTATCATCAAAGTGGTATTTTGGCTGATATGGACAAAACAACTGTTGATTTCATCAAAACTTAAAAATAAATTTCAAACAGATGCAAGCAGAAGTAAATCCTTGTATGTCCCTTCAAACATGCCCTTCAAAGGACATTCTATGAAATAGATGCTTACAAGATTTGAAATTCTAAGCATTATGCTCTTTTTCTTTTGGGGATTGTATGGATGCTGTGAATCAGGAACACTGTAGGAAAGTTACTTTTCTTTAAAATACAGTTCCGCTTTTTTTATGGTGCACACTTATGTTAAATGAAACACAGGATTTCAGGCACTTGCCAAGTAGTTTTCAAGCCTGACACAGAAATGTACTTTTACTAGCACTGCTTAACTATTTTAAGCAACTGCTCAATTCTCCATCTTTTCCACCTTTTTAAGTGTCTGAGAAAAAAATACGGTCCAGTTCTGCACAAACAGAACATCTTGCATACTTATCTGTTCACAGAATTCGGACCACAGTGTTTCAGTTTGTTCACTTAGACTTTTAATTGTATTTACTACTTTAAAATTTAGTGATGCTTTCTCAATTAACGTTTTTATGATGCTAGGAAAAACACTTTTGGACTCTCTCTTTCTACTCTGCCATTGTGAGACCCCACCTGGAGTGCTGTGTTGAGCAACTGGGTGCCCAGAACAAGAACGATGTTGACCTGTTGGCGCAGGTCCAGAGGAGAGACACTAAGTTGATCACAGGGCCCGAGCACCTCTCCTATGAAGACAGACTGAGAGGGCTGGGGTTGTTCAGCCTGGAGAAGAGAAGGCTCTGGGGAAACCTTAGAACACCTTCCAGTACCTAAAAAGAGGGCCATAAGAAAAATGAAGAGGGACTTTTCACAAGGGCTGGTAGTGATAGAACAGGGGGGAATGGCTGCACACTAAAAGAGAGTAGGTTTAGATTAGGTTTTAGGAAGAAATTCTTCACTGTGAGGCTGGTGAGGGACTGGAAAAGATTGCCCAGAGAAGTTGTCAACTCCCCATCCCTGGAAGTGTTTAAGGCCAGGCTGCTGGGTGATCTGGTCTAGTGAAAGTTTCCCTGCACATGACAGGAAGTTTAGAACTAGATGATCTTTAAGGTCCCTTCCAACCCAAGCCATTTAAGATGCTGGAGTTTATTATATAAGCTATTGTTTGGACAGTACAGAAACACAATGAGCTTAATATACAGTGTATTTGATTATTCTCACTAATTAAAAGCACTGCTAAATTCCCAGCAGAAGTCCAGCAAAGTTAAATTATGAGATAGATTGCTGTTTTGTTTTTATTGTATTAAGTATACTTGAGTGAAACTCAAATATTTGCGTAATAAATTGAATTTGTCATATTTCCATAATGTTTTCCTAATGATGTAGCAACTGTCCATGGTGATGAAGGCTAAATAGAACTAGCTGTGCTTGTGTTAGAAAGCATTCATATCCAGGGAAGGCAAACTGTTAAGGAGTAAGTCTTGAAATTAATCCATCTTGCTTGATAGAACAAACATTTTTTTCATTACGCATTGTGTAGAGACCTCATATAAAATACTGTATTTCTTCTTGGCTACCTCTGTTTTTATGTGAAGATCACTTAAAACACAGACTTTGAATAGGTAATGCATTAAGAAATGTAGCAATATACGAAAGATCTACTCTTTTTGCAGATCTCTTTTATATAATTTGACATTAAATTGTCATGCAAGCATTAATATGTTGTATACTGCAGGAAAAGACTTGTAATTTTTATTTAAAACATCGTGGCAGATATATTTGAATGTAGCAACTATGGCCTCTTGATTTCATTTTGTTCAACTTTTCCTTCATATCTGCAAAAACTAGGGAAATGGGAAAAGAAAGACAAGGAAATAATCCTCTCTCTCTCTCACTCACAGCTAAGAAGGAAAAAAAAAGGGAGATTTGAAGGGATCTAAAATCCTAAAGTGTTCATTTTTGTCATGTTGAGATACCTAACTGCAGTATACATCATGTCTCTGATTATGGGTAGCTAATAAAAGACTTAGCTTTTCTTTAAAAAGTAGCGAATAACAAGGGAGGGAGACAGTTTCCTTTGTATTTGCTATACATGCTATTTCCATGCTATTTCCTTGGGTCAGAATTACCAAGTGTTACCTTTAAAATGTGCTTTACCATGGAAAATTACCATGGGTAATTTTTGAAGTGCTAATAAAAAGTCAGTTATTTTTCTCTGGTGATCACTGCCTCTGTTCTCTCCTGTTGTGTTTCCTGAACAGATAACTGTATCTGAAAACAGCTCCAGTTTGATCAGATTGCTATAGGTTTTGATTTGAACATCTTGGTGGAGATGTCACAGCCTCACTGTCATTGCAGTGTTTGATTCTTCCAATTGGGAACGGATTATTTTTTTTTTTAATTGCAATTAGAATTTCAGTTTTAATTTTAATTAGAATTTCCTTTGCTGAAACTGCCTGCAACCTTGGGAGACTAGTGTGCCCAGTTATTTCAGTCTTCATCAGCATTTCATACCCTTTTACAGGCTGATGTGCCCCAAAGTCAGTGCAAACATCTCAGCTCCCCCATCTCTTGAATACCTTAATTGTGCAATCATCCAGACTGTTCCTCCTGCAAGACCCACCTAGTGTTCCTATCTGACACCACACTGAACATCAGAAGTGGATGAAAGGGAGGGAGATGGAGGATGTGTGTGGGGAAGCTGTACCGAAAACAGAACTAAACCCAAATATCTTTTGTCATTGTCCTACCTTTCTTGAGCCAGTGACTCAAAAGCAGAAATTTAAATTTGTAAAATATGCTATTTCCAGCAAATGTGCTTCTTACTTTCTATCCTGAGAAGTACAAAGTTTGTTTTTGCATTGTTAAATTTGCTTTGAAATTTTTTATTAGTAGGAGAATTTTAATGAGTACAAAATGATAAGGTTTCAACTATGTTATCTACTAATCTGTCAGTCTGTTTCTCAAACTCTTTAGTCTATGATACGGTTTCTGAAATTCCAATCTAATGAGTCATATGTATCCTGCTATGTTGGTTTCATGCAATAAGCATGTAATTAATTCTGGTTCATTCAATTAGAAAATTTGGGGGCTGAACCTACTTCTGTATTTTAGTTTGAATAAAAAACTGACTTTTGGATTTTTATCCACTTGCTAAGTTTTGGGTTCTATTGCAGAGCAGTCGTGGAGCACACAGACTTGGATGCTTTTTAGGCCAAGTTAGAAGGTGCGTTAGACCCACGAACAAGCATTCAGTCCGTATGACCGAATTAGAGGTCATACACTCAAACATGTAGGAGTGGATTTCATATCCTCTTCAGAGTGCCTTGTTTGCTGTATTTGTTTCTGCTGTGCCAAAATAGTTGTTGGGTTAGTCTTCCAGATCTACAGTGCATGAGAGAGAAGGAGAGCATGAGCCTTCTATTGTAAGGCTCAATTATTTGTGGTAAGTAAACTTAACACCTAAATTCAAAGAAACCCACCAAATCAAGAGCGTTTTAGACCACTAGCACATGCATGCCTTTGTATAAGCTTTCAAATTCTGCAGGTAAACTTTACGGGAGATCTGGGCCCTCTGTTCTGTACCTGAGCAGTGCAGTTCAAATACGCGTTTCGTAAGACTTGCAACGAGTATTGTTCCGTCAATATTGAAAAATAAATAATTTACAAAAGGTAGTAACTTGCATGATGCAGCTGCTCTGTAGCTGCCCAGAGGATGTATTACATTACTGGTTTAGGCTAATGTGATAATGGTACTTCCTGAAAGGAAGATATGTACTTGGACATTTTCATAAATGGGCTTAGAAATATTCAAAACTCCAAGTTTTCGAAAGGAGCAGCATAAACAATCCTAAAACATTAATTGAAGGTATTACTTGAGAAATTAAGGGACTAGTTTATAGGCGTTATTTCATCCAAATGACCTCTAAGGAAGGAGTTTTTCTCCAGTTGCAGAGGTCGTGAGGAATGTTAGCTAATGAGGAGACAGCAAACAGAAAAAAGTGTTAGAGAAAGTGCAGCTATTCTGCTTTCTCTATATTTCACTTTTGCCTGGAGACAGATTTTCCCTGAGAATGAGTGGGATTGTATCCTTTGATAGAACACATGCATAGGTAGTTTGTGTTCTTCCCTTAATGACAGTTCATGAGTTTTATATTTCCCTGCATAATAGAGGACTGCGTGTAGGCCAGTACATCACTCTGACACATGGCACTCTAGAGTCCAATTTTCATCACAGCGTGTATAAATTATATATTAATAACCATTTTTTCACACTTATTAGAGAAATGGCTCTCTGAATTCTACATTACTGATTTTTAAATTCACACCTCTTGACACTTTTTTGAACCCTGTAGACTTCTGCAAAGCAGTTTCAATTTGACAAGGATATAGAAAATAGCTGTCAAACCTTATTTAGCAACTGCAGCTCTTTTTAGAATATTATTTGAAGGAGGTACAAAATATGTCTGTTACTGGTTTTGATAATAGGGTCAAAGTGGGTCAGACAAGGGGGGAAGGAAATTGTGTGTCAGAGAATTAAAATAGTCATGCTGCAGAGATCAGACCCGTACCTCACATGTAAGTGTGGCTTTAAAAATAATGTTATACCTGATGGAGTTCTGTTAGATGTGCTGAGTATGACATTTACTAAGTGTGATGTTTTGCAATTAGACATGAGACTGGGAAAAGGCCCTGTGTGTATCTTGACCTTCTTTTCCTGCCCCCACTTGACAAAACCCATAAAACTGGCCATTATCCAGCCATTTCCCCATTAAAGGAAGGAAACAACAAAGGAACTGGAGGACAGAACGGCTAAAGGGGCTTCACACTCAGTAAGAAGTGTCTTCTGAAAGAAGATTGAGGTTGAACTCTAGCACAGCATGAAATTAAGTTATTCTATTACATGGTCAGTCTAACCTATAATTTAAAAAATCCCTAGCAGAATGGAAGCTAACAGCTAGTGAACATAAAAAGCTCAAGCAGATGTTAAAGCTGTCTCATGCAGTAATAACTAGCAGTTGCCTATTCCCCCTATTAAAATATTACAGATGTGGTAGGAAAAACCATTGGATTTTCTGATTTTACACTCTCAGAA